TGCATTTCTCCCCATAAGAGGACTAAGGAGTGGCTCACAAGGTTAAAACAGGTAAATTGAATGATTATTAATTGAATGATTATTAATTGCTGTAAATTGTGGTAAAATTGTTTTATATGTCAATTGTTTTTACTTTGATTGTTGTGAGCCGCCCAGAGGAAACCAAGTCTAGATGGGCAGCATACAAATCTAATAAATAAATAAATAAATAAATAAATAAACAAACAAACAAATAAATTCAAACACAATAAATAATGCATTAAAAACAAATTAAACTATTGTAATAATCAAATGTGTCAAGTAATTAAAAGTATTAAGTTAAAAACAGACTAACAAGCTAAAAAGCTAAAAGCAGCCAGAAACTCACTTTGAAAGTAATTTGTTAAAGTTAGTTAAAAGCCTGTCTGAAAAGTCTTCTGCTGTCGGTGGAAGGATAAACGGGAGGGGGCTAATCTAATATCTCGAGAGAGATCATTCCACAATCTGGAAGCTGCCACAGAGAAGCATCCCCCCCACCGGTCTCCCCATCGAGTGTACCTGTGATGGCAATGGGACAGAGAGGAAGGCCTCCTCTGAGGACCTTAAGAGCCAAGAAGGCTCATATGGGGAGATACATTCCTTCAGATAGCCTTCTGTGCTGTCGCTGCCAATGCAAGGTGACACAATGAATGCCTCCAAAGTGTACTCTTGTTAATGGTCCTGCTCAGGTCTTGGAAACTGAAGGTTGTGGCTTCCTTTTTGGACTCAGTCAATCTCATATTTGGTTCTCCTCTTTTCTTGCTGCCTCTGAATTTTCCTAGCAAAGATACACATAGCCATAGCATCTGCCCAACACAGCTGGCTCACTGTTCTAACAGTTCCCTGTTCTCTCACTCCCTGACTCCCAAATCTAAACTGAGTTCAGTTCAGGGCAGGCAGCAAAGAGCCTCTGGAATTAGGACCGATACAAATGCTATGTACCAGTCCATCTGCTTGTGCCTGGATGCAGAGCCATTGGTTCTGCTTGCCACAATTCAAGCTGCCAGGTGCTGGGTTGTCCAGGTCAAGACACTGAACCCAGGGACTCTGATTTAAAGAACATACCCTTCAGGTCTGGAACCAGATATGGCAACCCATGAACCTAGCCTGATCTTGCAACAGGGCTTCTGTTGTGACACTGACCTTTGAGAGTTCTAAGAAGTATTTGTTTACCAGAACAAAAATATAAAACATCTGGTATGAAAGGAATCCTTAGATAACAAAACATTTCCTTTTGCTCATACATTCAAGACAGCAGTTCTTAACACTTGTTTAACTTTATACATTGTAAGTACCCCATTGCAAGCCTAAAATTCCATGTGGGTCTGATAACATCAGGCATTTTCTTCCTTGTACAAACTTTACCTTTGCTTCAAATTATAAAAACTACCTTTAGTCTGTGCAACCATATCCTGACCAAAGGGGGAAAAACATGTGCTGGCATCTTAAAGATTAACTTATATATTCTATTTTATTCTATTTATTCAATATTCTATTTTATATAAAAGTTCCTCTTTAATGTGCCACTACTTTTTGCTTCATTTTGTATTTTGTTTCAACTTTCTCTGGATTTACATTATGAATGTGTGTGCTTTCCTTTTCAAGGTTGTGAATATCTCATTCATGATGGAATTTAAAGATCTTTCCGTCACAAACATTTCGGTGAAATATCTGCATACTTGATAGAATGATGTATTAAACTACAACTGTGATTTGTACATTCAGAGTATGAGGACTAGACAATGGATTCAAAACGTCTTCTTACCTCTTTCAGCCAAACACAACCCCCTTTTTTGCTGGATCAATCATTACTACCATGATTATGATCCCCTTTAGTTAGGTAGTTCAGTACAGTGGTGCCTCGCTTAATGACAATAATCCGTTCCAGGAAAATTGCTGTTAAGCGAAAACATCGTAAAGCGAAATTTTAAAAACCCATTGAAACGCACTGAAAACCTTTCAATGCGTTCCAAAGGGCTAAAAACTCACTGTCCAGCGAAGATCCTCCATACGGCAGCCATTTTCGGTGCCTGTATAGCGAGGAATCCATCCCTAAGCATAGCAGGGAGCCATTTTAAGCACCCGGCGGCCATTTTGAAAACCCAACGATCAGCTGTTTTTGATCGTCGTAAAGCAAAAATCGGTTCCCGAAGCAGGGAACTGATCATCGCTAAGTGAAATCCCCCCATTTAGAACATCGTTTTGCGTTCACAATTGCGATCGCAAAAACATCGTCATAACACGGATTCGTCGTAATGCAGGGCAATTGTTAAGCGAGGCATGACTGTATCACATATGAGCTCTGTTTAGTATGTATGCATACATACAAAAATGGAGAGAATCTTTGGCCTGACCTTGGCCCCCTGTGTATACAGAACATGCACTGAACAGGTTCATGTTTATATATTTGTATGGTTGGTCCAATTCCCCTCCCATAATGATTTATCTGCCTAAAAATAAATGTGTGTGCAAGTCACAATGGTGTGGAGGTTTTGTCAAAACAGTCTATGCACAGTGCTGAACTGGCTTGTGAAATACTCACACATCTCTATACCACCAAAATTCAAATTTCAGCTTTTTGTCTCGATAAAGGATAAAACCAGAGCTTGGAAATTCTACTTTTTAAAGACTACAGCTCCAGCAAAACTTTTCCAAACTCCAGCTCCCACCGTGGCTGTACTGAGATTCTGAGGGTTCCGAAAGTTATAGCTCAAAAACATAAATCTTCCCAGCTCTGGGAAGAACAGCACATTCTCAGAAACTTTAAGCTGATGCCAAAACCAGCACTAAATTCCCATCCCACCTCACTCAAAAATGTAGTTTCAACAATTTGTACAGACTTCGTTGTGTTGGGTTTTTCCCTTGTAACCAGCAGCCAATGAAAAAAATAGGGAAAATATAGGATGTGCTATTACAGTACAAAGGAAATATGAACTACTGGTCAAGGAGAGCAATGGTAAAAACTTCACATTTGCTTATCTCTCCAATAATAAAAAGTTCTACCCAGGAGGCTTCTCTCTCTGCTCTGACCACCAACCTCTCACCCTGCTCCTTCTTGTATACTATTGGAAACTCACTGCTACTGGCTCTCTTTTCTGCTTTCTGCCATGAGTATGAGGACTAGACAATGGATTCAAAACGTCTTCTTACCTCTTTCAGCCAAACACAACCCCCTTTTTTGCTGGATCAATCATTACTACCATGATTATGATCCCCTTTAGTTAGGTAGTTCAGTACAGTGGTGCCTCGCTTAATGACAATAATCCGTTCCAGGAAAATTGCTGTTAAGCGAAAACATCGTAAAGCGAAATTTTAAAAACCCATTGAAACGCACTGAAAACCTTTCAATGCGTTCCAAAGGGCTAAAAACTCACCGTCCAGCGAAGATCCTCCATACGGCAGCCATTTTCGGTGCCTGTATAACGAGGAATCCATCCCTAAGCATAGCAGGGAGCCATTTTAAGCACCCGGCGGCCATTTTGAAAACCCAACGATCAGCTGTTTTTGATCGTCGTAAAGCAAAAATCGGTTCCCGAAGCAGGGAACTGATCATCGCTAAGTGAAATCCCCCCATTTAGAACATCGTTTTGCGTTCACAATTGCGATCGCAAAAACATCGTCATAACACGGATTCGTCGTAATGCAGGGCAATTGTTAAGCGAGGCATGACTGTATCACATATGAGCTCTGTTTAGTATGTATGCATACATACAAAAATGGAGAGAATCTTTGGCCTGACCTTGGCCCCCTGTGTATACAGAACATGCACTGAACAGGTTCATGTTTATATATTTGTATGGTTGGTCCAGTTCCCCTCCCATAATGATTTATCTGCCTAAAAATAAATGTGTGTGCAAGTCACAATGGTGTGGAGGTTTTGTCAAAACAGTCTATGCACAGTGCTGAACTGGCTTGTGAAATACTCACACATCTCTATACCACCAAAATTCAAATTTCAGCTTTTTGTCTCGATAAAGGATAAAACCAGAGCTTGGAAATTCTACTTTTTAAAGACTACAGCTCCAGCAAAACTTTTCCAAACTCCAGCTCCCACCGTGGCTGTACTGAGATTCTGAGGGTTCCGAAAGTTATAGCTCAAAAACATAAATCTTCCCAGCTCTGGGAAGAACAGCACATTCTCAGAAACTTTAAGCTGATGCCAAAACCAGCACTAAATTCCCATCCCACCTCACTCAAAAATGTAGTTTCAACAATTTGTACAGACTTCGTTGTGTTGGGTTTTTCCCTTGTAACCAGCAGCCAATGAAAAAAATAGGGAAAATATAGGATGTGCTATTACAGTACAAAGGAAATATGAACTACTGGTCAAGGAGAGCAATGGTAAAAACTTCACATTTGCTTATCTCTCTAATAATAAAAAGTTCTACCCAGGAGGCTTCTCTCTCTGCTCTGACCACCAACCTCTCACCCTGCTCCTTCTTGTATACTATTGGAAACTCACTGCTACTGGCTCTCTTTTCTGCTTTCTGCCATGCTGCTTGGGTGGTTTTGGACAGTACTTCCCTAATTAATAAGCCAACAGTCTTTTGGGGTATAAATTCTTCCTTAAAACAAGTTTTCTTTAAGACGTTCTCTTACAGGACCTCAAGAATTATTATTTAGCATCAGGAGCTGACACTGCTCACACTTTACTTGGGAGATGGGCACCTTCTGCTCTATACTGATCCATCTGAACTAGCAGTGATCAACACAGTGCTTAGGTGGATTAAAAGTAGAAACACACGTATTCTTCTCCCTCTGTATTATTCCCCTGCAGCTTCTCACCATTGACATTTTAACTCTGCAATAGTAAATGCTCCAATTTCCTTTTAATGTATTTCGTGTTCAGTTTCAAAGGTTCAAAACCTGCCATCATTTTAAATGTTACCAGTCATCCACCATATCATTTAAACTGTAAAATATAGACATGTTAAATAGAGAATATATACACCATTTCCTAAAAACAGTAGAGCAACACTTACTATTTCAGATGAATTGAACCTCACAGATGTTTTGGCAACGTTAAGACCATCGATCACAATATCAAAAGGGGAATGCCTATCCACAAATTTCCGAAATTGTTCAAGTTCCTAAAAAAATAAAAAGCAACATATGAAACAAAAATGCTTTGACATCCTCAGCTATGTTTGTTCTCTCCAGCCAAGGTTCTGTGTATTGCAAAATTACTCTGTTCAAGAGCAATAGCTGGTATTGGATACAGAATTAAACTTCCCAAGATACTAAGTGCTCATATTTTATTATCTTTCTAAATGCATCTACTTCATTTATTTCAAATCTTTATATCTCATCTTTCTCTTCAAGAGGCCCAAGGCAGCTCACTATACTAAAACAAACAATATTAAAAACTAAAAACAAACAAAACAAAAACCAGAAGCCCCATTTTGTGCTTGACAGTGCATGGGAATACAAAAAGTCATGAACTTCTTTTTCCTGCAAAACTACCTGCCGTATTTTTTGCTCCATAAGACGCACCGGACCTTAAGACGCACATAATTTTTAGAGGAGGAAAACACGGAAAATATATTCTGAACCAAATAGTGTAATAAAATATTTTATCAACTATAACAGAATAGCATTTGAACCATGTAAGGTGAACAGCAGTCAACAGTGGCATTAAGAACCATTACCACTGTCATTAACAAATGGAGAGACTTAAAGCTTTGTGTACTCTAGTTTATGTACCATAAATTTGTGTACCATAAATTTAATTCAAGTACATATAGACCATTATCAGCCAGTGATAAGACCTATACCACATATTTTACATTTCCTTTCATCCACCTCCTCCCCATGCTTATAGAAATGTCTCAATGACAGATGAGATTGTTGTGCAACTCTGCCCAGCTACAGCTCAAGCCTATATTAAGTTAGAAATGGTTTGTCTGATTTGGCACTGCATTGAGAGGTCCCTTTTAGTTGTGTGGAGGATAAATAGTAGAATTAAACTATTTAACAGCTGGTTTTCCTTATTTACTGTACTTTAGGTTATGCAAAAGAACAGCAACACAAAGCTTAACCCATTCACCAGCAGTAGCACATGCTCAGCATAAGACCAAATCTCGGGTTTCTAACATAAATTGAACATTTATAGCATGCAAGGCACAACAGGTTAGGC